AATCTCGCATTCTACATGTGTGTCTACTACCTGAAATAATAACGCGTGGATATTATATTCAAGAATAGTCGTTCCTAAGCTATTGCAGGAATTTCATTTTATTTTCCAAAAAGAAATTTTGTTTGGCTATCAATGTGCCGAGTCTGCAAAGCTTTAGAGGTCCTTGTATGAAATCTTAAGCAAATCCTATAGAAAAAAAAAAAAAAAACTTCGAATTTATTAACAATTCAAGCAACACTTCGACTTGCTTAAATTACCAATAAATTCAAAGTTCTTTTAAAGGATTACTCAAGCGTTCCCCGTTTCATTTTGCTTAAATTGCATTTATCGGGCTCCAAATCGGGAACATTATGCGACAGGGGATTAATAATTATAAATATCCCGCATTACTCGTTAATTTATTCTTTCTTCGCTCTCGTATCGTTCACTTTCATCGTTCGTAAGAGTCATCCGCGATAAACTCGTTTTGTTTCGACGCGACACGGTAATCTGCATTTAACGCGAATATGATAATGAACTCCTAAAAATAAGTCGTACCTCGTCGATTTGCGACTCGACCACGTGAAACATTATGTCTCGAGGTTTACAGCGCTCGATGCGTAGGCTCTTTGCTCACACGTGTACGCATTCGTGGTAGGTGGGCCGTCAATCATGTTCGACCTCGATAAATAATTTTACTGGAACCTTTGTTGCACATCGACAATGCCTCCACCTGAACGCTGCTGCAGGAAGCCGTTGCACAATTCCTGTACAATGAAGACGCCACGGAGTACCTAACTGACAAAAGGATTCATTTTATTTAACTTTTGAATACTTGCTTCGACAGCTTACATCTGTATTCTATAATGAACTTCTGGGAACGTTCAGTATGAATGTGTGGACTGCAACACATTTTTCTATTATTTTATACCTTCTTCAATTTCAGATAGTTTAAAAATATTTTTGTTGCGACGATATTGCACGATACCAAATATAAATGTTCGAATGTTTAAAATTAGAGAAGATATGGCTAGAATGAATACAGGATTGCTGTATAGGATATCCTAGTATGGAAGACACCTGCGAGACAGCCTAGTAGAAGAAACCATAGGTGACGATTAACAGATGGAAAAACGACAGGAATGTATGCACAGGCGAGAAAACAACGAGACAACTGTGTTAGGCCAGCACAGAGGCGTCCCTTTTCCTTTCAACAATGATTTACAGAGGAAGCGGTTCCCTTCATTTAAGGCTGCTTTCCACGTGTCGTAGACTTGTAACTTATGCGCGTACATATGGAGACGTAAGTACCCGATGCGGTCATTCTCACCGGAGTCGTAGGCCACGGGTAAAATTTTGTCCCTTGCCACGTTGGGGAAGCGTCGAGCAAAAAGTATAAATTATCGCGATGGCGGGACGCCTGGCGGTAGTAATGCAATGCAAAGAGACGTTGCCGGAAGAATCGCGAGATTTACTGTTGAACCTTAATTGTAATGCTGCGAAGGTGTTACTGATTTGTATCCTCCTGGAACTAGCTCCAACGTTAGACCTGCTGGTGGGTCAATGCTGAACATCTTGTTTAACTGAACGAGTCTCGTTGATCCATTTTCACTTGTACTTTTATTTTTACTCGTTTACTTTTGTAGCAGTTCTGTCTTTAGGATATTTAGTAATTAACATTTTTAGATATCTAAAAAGAATTGAAATTTTATTATATTTACTGCACCACCCTTGTTTTCTCTAATTAAAAATATTTAGTTACTATCTTGTAATATCATCATTTATATTGTGCGCACTGGCAAAAAATTCATAATGGATTAAATTCGTCGGATAGGACACTTTACTCGAAGAAGATAATATTGTTATCTATAGATAAAAGCTCCGACGTTTTTTTTTTAATTTCTGAATGCTTATAATGAAACCGGTACCGTGTAATTACCTCGAGATACCGCTACGTTATCACACCCTTTTCTCTTTTCTCTTCGTCGTATCGCAAAACGAGATAAAGATCTTTCCTCGTCTGTCTTTATAAAGTGGTTTGACCCGAGACCTTGACATTTGACTTCAGGTCGCATCCTCTCATCAGAGACCGTTAGCTTCGAAGATTCTTCTAACGATGGCCATACTTCCCACCATTGACACTATTACACCATGTATAGCAATTTGTTTACACACCATTTTAAAGTATGGATTCCGAGTGGGTACTATTTTATTATTTAGTCGAGAATTATTCTATTTATTACGTTTATCGGTACCAAGAATTAAATTGGCGATATGGCTGTGATCCAGTTTGATCTCAAGCACCCGCAATCTCTGATCGGAAGTTCAAGTACGATAAACGGGCCCTGTACTGCGATGCTACTAACGGTACCGTTCCTTTCTCTTTCTCTTGGCCGTTGTATCAGCAATCACGATGAAAGTCTTCCTCTTGTCTACACGCACGGAGTGACTTGACCTAAGACCCTGGCACTCGATCAACTAAATTCTTTTCTCACGAGCTAGCAACCTTCCACTGTCGCTGATGTAAATCGTTTGTGCGGATAATTGCTGATGGCACGAAGCATCCCTGACACGTCCAAGTTCTTCGAGCAGACATCTTGTTTGTCTTACATAAATATGTGCAGAGTCAACGAACATATTTTAGTAAAAATAAAATAAAAAGAAGCAACTACTGATGCAACTACTGTGATAATAAAATCAATCGAACTGAACAAGACACGAACCATCGATTGAAACGTTTATTACAAAACGAGGCCTGGTTATACTACAGAAATATTTCTCTGCTTTCTCAACTTGACAAGCAGTATATATTATTATGTTTATCATTCGTGTACCTCGATCGATTTACATTTCCAGACGGTCATTGCTCTGACGCTTTGAGCTGCCAAACAAGTTTACACGTTTAAATAGCTTTCACCAATACGGGATTATTCAATGCAAGCTGGATTCCTGTGTTTTATTTTCGAACACTGGCGATTTCTCTGAAATTTTTCGATTCGAAGAACCCAACAATTAATTCTAGCCTTGGTATTAACGCCATAATGGCTCTAACGGTGCTCCAAATCGGGGGTACAGCGCGCTCCACGTCTGAAATTGACACGCGATTTTTATCGAATCGTGACTCCAAAGAATTTCACTGCCGTGACGGAGCCGAAGGCGAATCGCAAAGAAACATTCGACGCGTACGGAACCGTGAAGTAACGGTACAGGGATTCAGGAACCCTGTGGAAAAAAAAATAACAAAACCAGTCAGGTATCCGCGACACCAATGACCGTCCCGTTCTTTTAAAGACTGCTTCTCGTGGATTCGTTCTCATTCACGTTCACCCGCTCTCAGCTCGACGGCCAAGCATGTAATTTAAATGGAATGCGGTGTTAATCACTCCGAAACGTTCCTCGATAATTAGACTCCGAGCGATTTTAAACGTCGAGACCATTATTGGTAGCAATTTTGTAACGAGAAACAGTTATGACAGTTTTGAATAAGCGCTGCGTGCCATTTTTTAAAGAAAATTACGCGAAAGGAAGTGGTTAAGTTGGGCCAAGTTATTTTAATCCTTTCAGACCTAAACTATTTTTTTTTCCTCATACTAATGCCATTTAATTTTTAAGGTTAACTTCGACGAGAATCGTGGCTAACTAACGCGTTATTAATTCAACGTCTCATAGTCGAGGAAAGGCATTCACCTTGCGAAATACACCTCTATTTGATTTATCCCCACTCGTACACTTCCAGACGTCGGCACAGTTTATGGAAAAATCGCATCGTGTGTTCGACTTCGAGTAACGATTGTTTGTTCCACCTTTCCTCGATGCATTGTTACAGATCCGTTTATATTACCCGAACTTTCCCTTTACGAATAGTGCCGGAACGAAGCGGAATTTTCATGTCGCGATTATGCACGATTATACACTGCGGGCAATTATTCACATCGAGATCACTAAGCAATTCAGTCGCTTCGTTATCGCTGTGCAATCGTATGCAAACGCGCCCGAGACGATTAGGTGGTGATTTCAGCATTAAGTAAACGCATCGTTTCAAGAAATATCTATCGATTAGTACCCATTGTCTCGTTGCAGTTGCAGAAACTCAGCGTCAATGTTCGATTTGTCCGACAGGAAATTCTCGGTGTTCACGAATTTATAATACGATCTTTACCGTGACGCTTACGAAACTAAACACCGTGTTACGGTCGGAACAATCTCGATCGACCGCTCAAGGCCACTTCCTTAATGTCAAACAAGAACTCGCGTTTGTACGTCGTGCTGGCCTGGCTCTGTGTTTGCATTGAGAGTCGAGAGTGGTGGCAACTATCGGTGGTATTGAGTGACTAATGTAGATATGCGAAATTTATGCACTTATGCAGAATATGCTGGAAGTTTACTACACGTTTTTAAACGTACTTGACTGTTACATGGATTCGAACATGCGTACTTTTGTTTTTCATTTCACTTCAGTCCACATCGTGTCCTTGTATTCTAGGAAGTCTAGGCTTATAAGTCTAGGAAGATAAGGACAATCGTGTTCGCGGACTTACACCATTTTTATAATAGACTCCTTATCTTGTTTTTCAATAAACTTGCACCATTTTCAAGATAAACAGCTTAAGTACGCGATTAGACCAACGCCCAACTTCTATATCTCATGCGTGCTAGTACATGTTGGATGATAAAAAGTAGAATTGCAAGTCAATTAATATTTTATGTACTTAGTTATGCTTCAATAATTCTCATCAAAAATTCCAGCATAAATATTGTCAGTACCCTAATAATTTTAAACTAAAATTCAAGATGCATTAGGTAGTTTTAGTGTCAATTATTGCCTAAATACAGTTAGTCCTATAAATATTCGTACCCTCTATGTCTATTGAAGAAGTGTGACTACTGTTGCTATAAATTACTACATATTATATAAACTATAATTCCATGTACTATAAGTTTCCTCCGTTTCAAGTCCAAGCACGATCACTTCCTCCAGGTACAAAGTGCGTTAACCGGTATCCTCAAATATTTGCTTTCAGAATCCCCGGTCGGCGATCATCGTCAGGGTCGTATGTCCCTTCAGACCGAGCTGCCATCCTCGAAAGCGAAGAGGGAGCAAGCTCTTCGCAGCATCCTCGCCGCGAGAAGGCGACAGATCTTGAGCCAACGGCCAATCGAATCTCGGAATCTGAACCGCACACCGAGACCGCTCGAGGTCTCCAAGGATTCGCCGGATGTGCTGGAGGCTCAAGAGACCAGGCACGGAATGTACGTAACAGCGACCGCTGGCAGCAAGCCCGAGCCCGAGCCCGCGAACGTGGAGGAATCAACAGGTAGGATTATCGTGGCGGACTTAGCGAGCGGAGACATCGAGCTCGTCTCCAAGGAGCTAGAAGGCGAGCAGGTGGTCGAGCATAGCACGAGAAAACTGAGCAACGAGAGCATCGCGGCGTCAAGCGTCGAGGGTAAACCGGCCTCCGGTAACTCGAGAAGCAATTACTCGATCGCCCATAGAAATTCTTCCTCGCCTCCGTCCTCCCCGACGTCTCCATCGCCACTCCTAAGCACTCAGAAAGCTCAAGACTCGGATACCCGCAAAAAGAATATCGTCTCGATGCCCGAGTCCCTCTACAATTACTTCAGGCCCGTGGAGAGCAACATCCCCGTGGAGGACATGTCTCAGTTTCTCTACTTTGGCCAGAAGATTCAACCGGATGCTCACAACGTCACTGGAACTCTGGACGCGACCCCAACCGCGGTAACGGCCTCCAGCTCGAGAAGGAGGTACTCCATGAAGCGATTCGGCACGACGACACCCGTGCCCAAGTTGGAGGAGATCATAAACGAGGAGATGAACATCGCCGTGGAGCGTCGGATCGTCGAGAAGAACAAGGTCTCCAAGATCAAGAACGCGTTCAGGAGCCCGGAAAACGGGGTTTATTACCGGAAGACAGGACCCACGGATCTCACGATTGCTTCCAACGTTATCACGGCGAAGGAGGCCGTCGATAACGCCACGGAGACGAAGGCGAAAATTGATTCGGTCGACGATAAGCCTCGAGACGATAACCTGTCCGCTCACGCCGTTGACCAGCTGCGTCGCGAGAGAGGAAATGCTCCAGCCCACGTGCCCGCAGAAACGAGGAATGCGACCAACTCGACCCAGATACCGCAACGACAGCCAGTTTCCGCGAAAGCGTACAAGGAGCCCGCGGAAAGTGAAACCAAGGATCGCGCGGACGGTTTTGGCGACGAGTTGAAGAGCCACGCGAAGAAGAAGAAGACCGACAACTCTTCTCTAATCTCGAACGAGAGGGACGACAGTGCCTCCACTTTATCGGACGTAGAGATGTACGGAGACCACACCGAACAGAGGATCAGAAGAATCGACATCTACGCAACGAACGACAACGTAGACCTCTCCAGAAACTTCGACTCCGTGCAGGCCGACCAGCCCACGCTCAGCACTCGCGAGAGCAACAACATAGAGACCTCGACTTCCAGGGAAAAAATCTCGCATCCCACCATGGACCCATCCCTCCCCGTCGATTGGACCTCACCAGAGACATCCACCCTGAGGATAATCGTCGTGGAGGACAACCAGGAGCAGGGTTTCTCTGCGACCGATGTCGCAGAGAAGTATACCGTTAAACCGGTCGATTCGACGGAAGAACGAGCTCGCGGCGTCGTTTCCGGTGATGTTCCCACTCCGAAAGCCCTCCTAGCCACGACAACCGCGACCATGGAGGCGAGCACGCGGTTCAAGGGTCGTCATCGGGACCAAAAGCATCGTCCTGTGGACAAGGGAGGCGGGAATCGGGAGCAGCATCAACATCAGGAACAACAGCAGCAGCACGTGTACGCGTACACGATAACGAACGTGACGCGGCTGTTGCGCAACTACACCGGACCTGGGTTAAGCAGAGAGGAACAAGGAGGTCCCGAGCGGGGCACCGGTACGACCGAGATAACGACCGGATCGGCGCAGCCACGGCGTCAGCCACCGCCGCCGTCTCTTCTTCTGCTTCCTCGTGCCGGTAGTGGTATAGAGGCAGCCCGAGCGCCGGCGGAACTCAGTGCCGGCACGACCGTCGAAGCAGTCGCAGCTGGTGGAACGTCCACTGGTGACCTGGTGGGGGAACGGCAGAGGAAAGTCGTCACAGTCGTGCCACAACCGGGGGAACGCGCGGTCAACAGTGCCTCCGCGCCTCAGCTGACCGTAAACAAGAGCGCTCCGAAGTCGAGCAAGTCGCCGGAAGTCGGTAGTCGAGGAGCGGTTCGATGGAACCACACTAGGTCGAGGAACACGGATCTAGAGGGAATAGGCGATAGAAGGTTCCTCAGGAAGTCGGCCAGCGCGGTGCTCAATCAACGAATCGGGGCCAGTGGAGACGAAGACGTTGCTCTAGTGGGTAAGAGGCGAAGGCTGACAAATGGCCAGACCGCATCCTCCAGCAGGAGGGTCAAAGGAGGCAAAGTCCTAGACAGTGTTCATCGAACTATGAATGGGTCAGTTTTGATCGGTGAGAAGAATAGGAAGGATGCAGGGGAAGGACGAGCTTTTCGCGAAGACGTGAACAGGAGCAACGCGACGACTGAAAGCGTCACCATGGAGCAGAGGACGTCGTCTGTCACGGAGGTGGACTCGACTACCACTCCGATGGTCGTTAATACCACGGAGGAAGACGCGAGTAATCTGACAGAGCCAGTGACTTTAAGTGATACCAAAGACAAAAACGACGCGACGCGGGGCGAGAACGAAAGTGGCCGCGCAGAGAACAGCACAGTGAACGGAAGCGGTTCGTCGACCGTGACAGTGACCGCGACGTTGGACGAAACGGTCGAGCCCAAAGAAACGACGACGACCGCGACACCAATCCCGGCGCCAGTTTTTCCAGTTACGCCCAGAATAATCGCGGAAACGGTACGAGTTGAAAAGGAGACTTTCACCGTGAGCCCGACGGAGTCCGCGGGCCAGGTGACCGAGACCAGAATCACCGAGCCTAACAAACCTTACGGAATGGCGAACCTGGATCCCTCGGAGATCCAGAAGATGTATAGGTCCAAGAACGCGACCACCGTCGCGTCTACAACCATGGAAGCTCCCACTACGTCGATGCCCACGGTGCAGATCGAGATCTCGACGATACCGCAGGACCAGGTCGTGACTTCCGACTCGACGAGCGAGAAATCGGTCCCGACCGGCTCCACGGTTTCGGAGTCACGCAGGAGATTGTCAGGCGAGAGGCCCCCGGAAGTCAGGGGTCGTAACCTGTCCGACGAATCCAAGGACAAGGACGACGTCCTGCCCATCATGCAGCTGTACAACACCTCGGACATATTCAACGGCACCGGTCCCGCGAACTCCTTTTCCCGTGGCACGGAACGACGAGTGGAGCTTCCGGTGTACCCGAAGCAGCCAGATGTTTCGAGAACGGCCGAGAAAGTCAACGACACGGTTACTCAGAAAAGTACGTCGAACGATGCATCGAATGCTGCCCGCGTCCCCGTTTCCGAGCCAACGAGGAAGGACAAGCACGACGATAATCGCGAGACGTCCGCCCATGTCCCGCCGACGGGTCCTGGCAGAGGGACGACGAACGGGAACAGGACCAGACACAGGCCTCTCTATCATCACGCGATCCTCCCTGAATACAACATCTCTGTGTACCCCGACGAACTGAACAGGACGTTCTTCGACACCGGTATGATATCGGTCAGTCCCAGAGAGTCGGTGAATGTCAGTGAAGTGATATCGAAGAGACACGACGGCGACGCCATCGCGTCCCAGGAGACCGTCGCCGTGGTCAGCTACATCCTGGCGACGCTTGTAGTCTTCCCCATCGCCGTCGGCGTTGGCCTCATTCTTAGAAGACTGATACTTAGGAATCGTAAGGTGAGTGGTAGATTCGGGTCAGACGGAGCAACGACAGTCTCGGGGGATTAGAAAGTATCCGTAGACGTGTATGTACGATATGTCCACGTTGCTGAACGAAAGTGGTCTTGTGATCTTTGGTACTGGTCTGGTGCCCAGACTCCTTCTCGCGTGAAAGTTCCGCGGAGGTGTAGGAACAAGGTTGGTGTCAGTGACCAGCTCACTTTCGGTTTGGCTGCGTGAAATATTTCTGCGCTCTTCCTCGTTGCGGTTCCAGGTATTGCGAAACGACTCGAAGGCTCTTTGGATGATTAACTTGCTGGAGTGGCCTAGTGGGAAATGTTGTGTATTTGGGATTTTTGCGTTCGGGGTATTTTTAAACGAGCTGTTGAATTAAAGGAGCCAGGTGATGTAAAAAATTGAGGTTATTTATGGTATTTTTGGCTTTATATAGAACTTTACGATACCGTACAAACTTTACTTGGAAATTATAATTGTGAGTAATTTTTTACTCTAAATGTTAGGAAATTTTGCGTTGAAGTTTTGGAAATCCAAAGGAAATTTTAAATGAAAAATTGATAAACTATTTTGTGGTATAATCTTGAGAAAGAATTAAAATGAATTAAAAGAGAATTAAAAGAGATTTAAGAATTAAAAGGATTGGAAGATCCATATATTTATTTCTTCTTTTACCCTCTAATTAATTCTACTGTTCGAGGCACGATCGATAACGAAGCCTCGTCATTATTTTCCGCCGGCTGAGATCTCGAAAACAATGATCCACATACCACACGTTTCTGGTTCTAGGTCGAACCGATCAAAACAGTGTTGACTTGAGTATTCCTGGAAGGAACATGATGAATTTTAAAATATAGGACGTTACGGTCGTGCCCAATCGATCGAATGAATCATAGCGATACAGTGGGAACACGCAGATGGCGATACATTCGAGTCGGTCAACATTTCGTTTTTATTCCGCTTGATTCGTAATGGGTGTTGCTTCCTTTCGGCCCTAGAATCGTTTTCTTGGCAAAAAAACCTTGATTTACGATTGTGTACCGTAAACCGTATCTGGTCGATGATCGCTAAATCGTAACGCAGATCTTATGGCAGCGCTACTTATGTACCGTTACGCAGCCTGCGGATTATCGTCGGCCTCGAGCATTTATCATTCGGCCATTAACCGAGACTTTCGCGTTATTTCGTGACCGTGAAATGGTCCCAGTGTGTAGCGTCAGGTTCAACAGTTTGATGACTAGGTTGAGAGTGTCGCTTCGCAGCTGGTTCCGTGCACGAGGAATTAATTGGACTGAGATCGTGCTCGATGGCGCCGGTAACAAGGGGATCACATGGCATATCGTTGATCGATTTCGTCCAGGCTACGTAGGCACATGGAGAACCGAAAAATGTATGATACTTATATGGTTGTTTGCTTGGGTAGGGGTGAGTGGGATGGTGCACCCTTGCCTTTTTCATTCGTAGAACTTCGTAGCTCGCTACGGAATATTCGGTATTAGTAGGAATGGTATTTTCTTGTTGATGTTTAAAGGTAAAGTAGAATGAAATTTTAATTATTCTGCTGAAGCCCATTATTAATTAACGATCCGTCTTTCGATGTACTAAAAAAATCTTTCTTTAAAAAGTAATTAATTATGTATGTTTAATAACCCCTTGTCCTTTGTTGACAGTTTGACATACGATATATTTTAGATTAACTACGAGTACATCACGCTATTTGAATTTTATTCATCGATATTCAAATGACTCAACGATCACGATGTTCCTGACGCAATGTCTTATAAACTATTGAGTGCCCGAGCAAATGACCGAATAGGTGTCAGATATTTTTTGTCTTTTTTTTTTGTCTACCTAGGAAGGTCTGAATAAAATCAGTATGTAGCACATCGGGTGGTCGCCTTGTAAGTACGCGTTAGCGTGTATTCTAACAATCACGGAGGTTGGAACCCGCTGAATGAAGCGTTCTGAAAGATTGCTTCTTCTGATGAAACTGGCATAACCACTGGGAAGCAAACGCTTTAAGGTCTTATTAATGATGGTGTTTCGGAGTGCCGCTGGGGAGTTTGAGGGTCGTGGTAACAGGACTTCGACGTGGCGATGATGCTTTTTGTTTGTGTTATTATATCTGATCTTGCATACCTTTTTGACACCTTTGGCCGATGAATGCATCTCCTATAGTAGTGGATCGAGGAAAGACGTGTTTTTATGAAATGGAAGTTTTTGTTAACTCGTTTGTGATTTATGCTTTGTTTTTTTAGATTTTATATTTCCTGAGATAAAAGCTTTTGTCATTTTAACTGTTGCTATTCTAAACTGATTCCATTATGGGTTGAATTTTAATAAGGAGAGCTATCACAGTTTCTGATACAATATTTTCCAATCTACATCAACAATAATGGTAAAGATGCACTATTCTTCTCGATATATTTCTCTAAATAAATCGTTTCAATGTCACAATTTTTTGCGTGATCATTAAATTCTTATTCGGAGGTATCAGTCGACAAAATGTTGAAATTATCGTTAACCGATCGCGGCAAATTTTGTAGAAACTATCTTGGTTGGCCCTGAACCCGTCACGAGTGAAGCCAACGACTCCGTCGTCGAATAATCTTTATGGTTCGCGAAGGCTCGCCAATGATTCACTGTGAATGATCGCTCAATCGACAATTACGATCGTCAGGTTCATTGTATGAGGAGGATTACCTGGTGTCTTCCTTCGAGCAAGGATGCACCATGACGTCCCATCATCTTAGATCCGCTCGATAACATAATGCCTTGGTCTAATGAGAAAATAAATATAGAATTACATAATGCAAAGATTGTTCGCGCCATTGTATTCGATAAGAGTTTAATTGCGCCTCTCTACTAGAGAATGCATCGAACTCGAGTATCGAGACTGGGAAATTGATATTCATTGACGAACTTGCATAAAAGGAATCTTGAAATTCATTCGCTAAATTTTATCTGCGAAGGAACATGTTCGTCGTTCTCACTTACTGTCTCTCGAACGTGAGAATGAAATATTCTTCCACGCTCGCTGCAGATGAAAATGATCGGTATCACTCTTTTCCCCTGAAAGTGCATTTCTGGATGTGCATGTTCGAAGCTACGGTTGATTCGCGATTCATTCGGTACAACTCGAATATTTTTAGCGCAAGCGTTCGTAAAAATCGTGGATATAAATTTCGAGTTAACAGGACATTCATGATTGTAAACTCGCGCGATGGTACAAAGGGTCATGTGAAGATAAAAAAGAAGCGAGGGAGCAGGAGAGAATGAAAAGATGCAAGGGCCAAACAAACAGTGGGCAAACCCGTTTGAGGGCTTCCTCGAAAGCATTGAGAGTGTTTTACGCGTTTTGCTTTGAAATTTCGTCGAAAAGGCACGGAACGACCTACTTTTTAAACGGAAATATAGTAGAAACAATTGGTGCTACATTAACCCATTCACTGCTAGACAAATTTAATGCGTTTTGCATTGGGTTTCAAAATTTTAATACAGATGTGTAATCTAGGTTACTATTTTGATAATAAAAAGTAATTGCAATAAATTTGAACTAGGAGACATCTTGGAGTTGGCAGTGAATGGGTTGATAGATCGAAGGTCCAAGTAATATTAAACCAAACAAAAGGAAATTAACATAACGGAACTAAGATCAGATGCTTTGACATTGCACACAGATGTTGCTCATCGAATACCAAAAGAAACCAACACACTAATTCCTGTCAATATATTGCATAACGAGCAGCTAAACAAAACTGAATTCCAATTATTCCAATCGTAAATCAAATTAATCTCCAAAAAAACCCGTAGGAAATATAAGAAACAAGTTTAATAGAAAAAGAATTAAACATCAGTTGAATGATATTTGTTTTGAAATTGCAAACTTCTCCAAAGCATTGCAAATGAAACACGCGCGACACCGAGTGAATCATGCGACATTTTTCAAACGTCGTCTTCGAGTAAAAAGGCAAACAGTCGCATATCTTTTCCTGCTTTGCGTCAATGTTGTTTTTCTATCTATTTTCACTCGCCGCTTTGCATATTTCCAAGTTCGACGTTATCTGCGGGATTCGTGCACGGTGTGTCGCTACGAACTCTCTTTTAGAACGGAACGATAAGGGGCTCGTTGAATCGTGTAATTAAATAAACGAAACGTGCGATAATACTCGACGTTACGGGCACGATGCGATTGCATTTCACGCGACGTAAATTTCCAATTCCGAGTAAATCGCGCGTGTGACAATTTTTCTCAAATCAACCTGCTAATGACGTTCGTTTCGCACAGGTGCTCGAGGAGTCGGATACATCGTCGGAGATAAGTTGCCGCAAAGACGCTCTGAACCTTGAGAACGGGGACTTCAAAACGTCCATTGAGAAGGCGATCACGAAATTACCAAGGATACAACACTTGGTAAGCTTACATTTTTCTTTTTTTATCGAATTAAATTTAATCCTCGACGTAGAGATGGGGATAATTTGTATTTGAATAATAGATGGCGAATGAAAACCTTGTATAGTGATCTGTTCACAAGGTTTATCATTTAAGGTGGAATATAAATTTATTTTATAGCTTAAATTCTATTTTTAGTGATTTAATTGAATAGATGGTCGCTCGTATTTTATTCGTTTAGTTTACATAAGAATTTCGCCTAAATTTATTGGATGGTCAGCCCTGGGGACTCAGTGTGTCGCTATTACCACGCATTGAAATCTCCAGCGTGGTGATTTCAATCGCGGTAATAGCGACACTTTCTCCTTTAGAATCAATGTGCCAGCGATTCTTTTATACAAAAATTCACTATCAACGACACCATTGTTATCAACTCACTAGTTAAATATATTAATTCTACAATTAAATATTGCCTCCGGAATAAAAGTATTAGTGCACATTTCTGTTAATTCAAGGAATCACTTTCTCTTAATTTGTGTCCAATTCAGAGTGTTTTTGATTTGAACTTTTGAGCTATATTAAAAGCGATGATTATTTTTCGCTGCTGAATAGTGTCATCACTTTTGTTTAGTGTCACGAAGCAGAGAAGCCTCCGCCCCCGCCAACGCAAGAATCTAGATGGGAGTTTCCTAGAGATAAGCTTAGGTTACAGACGGTCCTCGGCCAAGGAAACTTTGGTCAGGTAGGCATTACATTTTTTAACATTGCATCTTCTGGAACTTTCTTGTCTTCAATTAACTAATTGAACAGAACCTAAAAATAAAATAGTATAACGTCTAGAAAATATCTATAAACGTCAGAAACTAGTTTTCCTTATTTGCTATTACAAAATTTACTTTAACTATTAGAGTCAAAGTTTAAATACTCGATCATCCATTATAAAAATGAAGGTTAATTTCTCTGATTGATGATCCAACGGTCAACTGGCTGTTCAAATGTTTTTATCTTTCCCGGTGTAATTATGCAATAGCGACAATTTATGGAAACTTTTTTCAGTTATTTACTACAGTATGACATAATGTTCTTCCAACAGCAAACGACCAATCGTTCTTTGTGTAATTCTTCGATATTCGTTGTACTTAACAAATGAGTAATTCTTGGAATTCTCTTTACTTTAAAAATACTTGGAATATTATGCAGTCCTTTGTTTTAAAGGTAATTCTAAACTATTTAACACTCGTCGTAAAAATTTCTATTATATAATAATACTTCAATACTCACTTTTATTAGCGAGAAGCGATATTCTGGTTTCACACCTTTATGATATAAAGTTCGGACCTAACGATTAAAACACCATTAGGTGCACTTACGTCTTAATTTTCTATCGTTAAGGTCTGGAAGGCTGAAGCTGACGATTTGACTGGTCATCAAGGAACTACTCGTTTAGTGGCTGTCAAAACTGTCAAGGAAGGTGCTTCCGATCGAGAGAAGGAGGATCTGGTTCGAGAACTGGAGATCATGCAGCAACTCGGTAGTCATCCCAATGTTGTCACTCTTCTTGGTTGTTGCACCGAACAAGGTAAGACTTAACAATTCTACCTATTTTATACTGTTAAGTGCATCGATGTAGTTGTGTTGCAATCGTGTCGTCAAATATATTTAATGCTCAAGAATTAATCTAACACTTCAACAACGTCGATATTCAATATCATTTGAGATCTATAAAAATGTCATTATGTTTATTAAAATCTACTTCATTTAAATCGAAGTTGATGAAATGTTAGTTTCCAAATTTTTGGTCTTTGGTATCTTTAGATATATTTTATAGTATTTGGGTAGGATTTGAGTTGATGAATTTTGTATCGAGACGTCTAGTACGTCATTTTGTCACCAGTACGTGAAGATTCATCTTGTTTCTTGCATCTGCGTCTGAGACATCTCCTTTATGACCAACTGCGCGAGTCACTTATCCTCGACCTTGTCTGTACGACGTAAAACTTTATAAAAACTAGTAGCGTTTTAAGTGGCAGCTCGTTTGCCGAGTATATGCAGATTGCACGATACGACGATTAAGTAATCATGCTTGATGGAGAAGCTTTGTTTGAAAAAGTGGCATCAAGCGTGCTGCGACAACGATTATACCTTCACCTCTAAAATATCTCTCAATTTTTCTTTCTTCGTGTCGTTAATTTTCTGTCAACATTAATATCTCTCGAGCATTCTTGATTCCTCAGTAATTCCTGAGAAAGAGTGAAAAAAGAGAGATTCGATATTCAGAAAGTTACATTTCTGCGATCAATTTAGCTTGACTATCTGCGTCAGGACAATGATCATTCTTATTTCTACAGCCTTGAAGATGACTCAACACTTGTAATCGAAATGTCCTTAATTAAGTATCTTGCATTATGGACTGAAGTCGTTAGTCTTCGTTTATTCTCATTCTCATTTTTCCTTTCGTGGATTTCCAATTGTTAGATTCCGAATTCCTCGACAATCTTTAAACCATACCATTTCTACGAAGATCCGGTCGTATAAATAATAATTCTATTCTCTGAGACCATAAAATGCCTAGTTATGAGTCGCTGTAAACGCAATTACTTCTTAAATTGTGCTTATCTCCCGACAAGTTGACGTATCTTCAATTATTTACGATTCCATGTTTTCGACGGCCATTCAGAGATCGTATCGTCGCAAACAGCGGTGCAATGCATATTGAAGCCATCGTTAGGGTATCGTAAGAGTAGCATTCTTTGTCATTGAGTCAGCCATAGTCGTAATTTTTTTTTCTTTTCGTTTGGTCGCCAGCAAACCGCCACCGTAATCATTTTTACACGTGCTGCGCTATTGTTTTGCGAATAAAAGGAAGATCGATCGTTCTCTCGAAGGAGACAGCTGTTTACCATCATCCTGCTGGTAATTGAGCAATAGCCTAACAGCCTCCGTAGGTCGAGACAGATTAACAAGTTACGCGTACCTCGTTGTCGAATTAACCAATCGTGGAAACCGTTTAATGCAATTTTTCTTTTAAGATGGAATCTCTAACGATTTATGAAGAGATTGTTTGGTGTGAGGGAACGTTTGATGGGACTCTTGAGCAAAGTCTCGATCATTTAATCAGTATTCTTTCATCAACTAGCCACGGAGATTAGAAATATCATTTTCAAGGTTTTTGTTTGCTTGTTTGATCGTTGACATATGCACAATTAAAGTGAAATTCTGAATTACTTCATTTAATTTCCAAATGTTTATATTTTACAAAAATTCTTAGTAGTTTCAACAAAATCTGTTGTGTGTATTTTATATAAAATCTTGTGTAATTATAATTTCCTAACAATTTGAAACCTACTTTAAGAAACACGTCTTTTATCCGCCGTTTCAAAATTTGTTCAGCACAGTTTTGCATTAATCAGCACGTTCCGATGCGTTGATATCACATATCAGCCATCCTTGCTCAGGATTACATCATCGAAATACAAAATTAAAGGAAGGCTGTTGCGCAACGTTGCAGTGGAAATTTTGTATGCTAAAGAGTAGCGTGCAATGTGTTAGTAATTACTCTATGTTTAATTACGGTACAATAGATCCCTCGCAATTACGTCAAGAAAACATTGTTAGCCAATTACATCTTTATTCTACGTTAATCGGACTTTAGTCCGTTGGAACATTGGATCGATATATTAAAAGCTTGTTTTCGCGTCTCCAATTAGCGATCGACGTAGTTGAATTCCACGTCTGAAATTCCATTGAAAATTCTATTTAAAGACGATTGTTTGTTTAGTTTGATAAAAGGATGAGTAACAGTTTTAATAATAAGCTGCATTGTGCGATAAACAAAAGTTCTTGCAGCTTGATAATACAAAATATCGACGACAGTAATAATAGTATTCTATAAAAACACTGGAAAAATTTGAACCAAAAATTGTCACACAAATTCAGGGCATTGACTGTAATTTATATAATAATATCCAATCTTCTAAACGCAACAGAGGAATTAAATGTAAATTCAGATTTGAAATTCGAGAAGAGTAAAGAGAATTAAATTTTGTTTTATGAGGCTAGAAGCTTCTGGTATCTATTTCTCGCCAGCAAGATTGATAGAACCTCGAAGACGATCCTCGTCGCATAGTACAAAATTACTCTCGTCACGCGGACGGAGATTGCCATTAACGACGAAACCGTGCTTGAGACATCAAAACACCGACGAGACAATCTGCACAGTTTTAGTCGTGGCTGACTTCAAGGGGGAGGCCCATTATACGTCTTTCGTTCCAGGCTCGTCGGTATCGTCGCTCTCATCGTATAAATTTCCATACGCGTCCCCACGGCGACGATCCTCGTGGCACAATACGTCTATTAAGTTGGAGAAATGATCCTTTCCGCGGGGTTGAGGGAGAGAACACCGCTATCGATACGATCGGTTCACGGTCGATCTGAATTTGACGTCGCCTCCAGACCTCCCTCAATATTTATGCGTGCGTTATTCGTTTTCGCGATTGTATGCTAATGCGCGGCGTGCTCGTCTAGCAATAACATGAAATTTAATCCTTCTACGTGAACGACCTTTTTTTTGCGAGGACTTAAAACAGCAAAAAGCGCGATGCTTCGCCTCTTGAAAGAATCGCCGCTTGCGTGGTTTGCGAGTTTTCCTTCACAATGGGGCGTAACTTTTCTGGTAGCCTCGCAGATTTCTTTGATAACGGATGCAGATTGCATTGTGCGTGGAATGGAAGTGGACCACTTGAATTTGTCGGCGGAGCTAACTCGAACAATGTTAATATTGTTAAGTTGAAGATGGGAGGCTTAATATGCTGTGTTGGTGTTGTACGAGTAAATGTTAGTAGAGGAAACTATGTGAATACAATAAAACTGGCACACCTTCGGGATTTTATTAAATGAGATGTGTTGAAGATATTAGTCGGGAGACTTTGCACCTACATTTGTATAAGTCAATCCATGGCAAATTATTATAAAATATGTTAGTCATTGTGAAAAGATACGTGGTAGCGTCAGCGCCAGTGCAGTGTACAGGGTGGCGGAAATTTGTTCATGTACTTGGCGTCGAAAATACGAACTTCAAATTTTTGCGTTAATCCTAAGGTATCCTCCTTTTCAATTATTCTACTATTTCATTCATAACTTCTATTTTGCTACATGACAATATTACAAATATTACCACAAGATTGGATAGCACATTTCAAAGTGTAGGTCTTACTCAGTGAAGCAAATTAGAAGAAAGGAGGTTCAGATTTTAATAAAATTGTACTCCCACGCTCGCAGAGGTGGGGGAAAAAAGTTCAACTCGACGGGATCGTTCGAATGATCGTCGACGATTATCAAAGCACGCAGAAGGCGCGTTCGCTCCCAGGCATATCTTCTTCAAGGAGTTTCGACTACGTTCCGCTCGCATAGAAGAAAAAACACGCTCGCGGGAGGACCTCCACGCAAGATTTACGACACCTGAATTTCTGGCCCTCCCTGTCCCCCCGTATTTATCGTTCAGGTCCTGGTGGGCGCGTTCGAATTCCTCTAAAGACGTTTTCGTCCTTTGACACCCGACTCTCGTCAAAGGGTGTCCTCTTGCGCCCTTCCTAACAAATCCCATCAAAAATAAAAGATTCCGCACCTACCTGAAGGTTGAGCTTACGTTTTTAATAGTGTCTATTCATAGAGATTATTCACAAGAATGAGAAGCTTTTCTGTACTTAAACTTGCTAATGTTTTTGTTAAAAGATGGAATGAAAATATTTATTCGTCGTTGATATTGACACACCTTTAACCCTTTCAGACCTGAATTATTTTTTTTCTCGTACTAATGTAATTTCATTTTTAGGGTTGATTGAAATTAGTATGGAAAAAAAATCTTAATAGATTATATTATCATATCTTAATATTTGCGTCCTTAATTGAGGACGCCAAGTCCGAAAGGGTTAAATTTTGAGGAAACTGGAAGTATATTGAGACCTTCGTACATCGTGTAGATGCTGATGCGATATACTGTACTTAACATAATTCACGATGTTTTCGATAGGAATCTTTGCATCAAATTTATGTCGAGTGACTTAGCACATCCCCGTATGGAGGTGAATTCCATAGGTCCGAAACCGGTTTCGGGGTGCTTTTGTAGAGGAGCAATTTGTTTTCAATTGAAAGTTTTGATCGAAGACCCATGAGTCTTTGCTTTTTTTGCGAATTTTATTTTCATCTGTTACTGAAAGCGATGACGTGAAAACGAGTGTCATATTTGGTGATGACGAAGTGGTCTCGAGAAGTCAATCGACCTTGTCTTCGCCATAACAACGTCGTCTTTAATTGTATCGCGTATTATTGTCGTATCACTTTTAAAGAATTGAAATTGAATAAAATTTGTTTACTTTCTGAACAGGACCAAAGTAAGATAGAATCTCAATTGTAAACGTAAATTGAAACAGGATTATATAAATGCTTACGGTTTATAGATCAAGTTTGCAATCTTATTATCCGATTCTTGAAACGTAACTCTGAGAGTTTACAGAGGTTGGATCGTTGGATCACTCGGGAGTAGTTTCAATAGATCCTATCAAACGTAAATTAATTCGTTCGAGACTAGCACTGCGAATAGCGAGGCTTCGCGAACGAATCTTCCATCACAGATTTCAACCAGTACTAATATGAAGCCGAGCTGCTTAACAAACATTTCATTTCAGAGATTTTCTCGTCTATGATCAAATTATGTAAACATCTCCAAGCTCCTTTTTTCATCGAAATCTCAGCTAAAGGTATCGCAAATACTCGTCGACCACGCTTTACACGCGGAGCTAATGAAATGATAATGCCATGCTACCCACTCGATCCGTTTGCTTTCAGTTTCTCCCATGGAGTCGTCATTTTCTCGGAAAGAGGTGCGTTATTTTATCGAACCGACTGTCTATTTCTCATACGAGCAATAATTCCGAGAAAGACGGAGTTGCTGGCACGCGCGTGGCTTGTGAGATCCTATCCTCGCGTTTTATGCTAAGGAGCTCGTGCATCGCGCCGCGAAAAACCGCGAGGGAGAGATAAGTTGTAAGACGATAATATGCGTTTATATATCCGCGCTTCGTTCGGTGTTAAATGATTGTACTCAGACGCCCACTGTCGCGGGTAACGAGTTAACCAACTCGGAATTTCACGCTTCTGGCTGCGACATAAATTTGTCCAAGTTAAATAATTACGAGTGGAATGTTCTACTTTACTTGAAGGGATGTTTCTTGTAATTTGATGTCTAATGATTGTATAATATAAAACATCTGTAACGTGACTTGTATGTCTTCACGAATTTAAGTGCGTTTATTAGATGTTGATTATCTTATTTAATACAGTAGTTCATTCTTGATTCATCAAACGATGGCTGCAAGAAAAAAGAAAATTCAAAGAAAATTGGTTAGCTTAAGCATGAGTAAGCCTTTCTTGCCACCTGGGTCTAAATTTTCCTCCAATCAATTAAAATAAGATCCGATCGCAGTATCGAGTCCATCACAGCGCCTGACAGCGAACAATTACCTGTCAATTATGAAAATTAAATTGCCACGTAACCCTCGCAAACCGAGCATAGCTCTTCTCGTTTCTAAGGCCACAAATTACAGAAAACTGGTAGTTACGAATAGCCGCGCAGCAATTGTAAGCAATCAAAGAAATTGATTGTCGAACAAGTAGATACTCATCTCCGTTGGATTATGCAAAGGAGTCTCGCACGAGTGCTGCGTGCCTGGCAATTATTTCCAATTATTCACTTGCACCTAATCGAGACCGATACATCAACGTACTCGTATACTCATATCGCATCGCAATATAATGTCGTTTAGTATTCGATTCGCGTAGGGCAACTTCATCTACGATTTCTTGTTCCACGACATCTTTGTTCGGGGAACAGCGAGTCTCGAGGGCTCGGAACTTCGGTTAGGGGAGAACGACCCTTGACTCGTGGAACCCGATACGACGTGATCCCGGACTCGTTGGACCTGACAGAGTTAACCTTGTACACGTGAAATCTGATACAGCAGAAGTTAAGCTCATACCACTCAATGACCCACTACTCATGGGATCACGACATATAAAGCACTCGTTGGATCGATAGACGCAATTTCAGACTAGTAGAACTCAAAATAACGGGATCTAGGTTGTGGTATGAATGACCTTGGCCTTGTGACGAGTGGTACAGATTACTGGACTTCTGGGGATCTGGGGACTCCTACAGACCTCAGGTTTCTCGGGACTCTGGATTAACATTCATTTTATAGTCCAGAAATAATATTTATTCTTAGTTTATTGATATTATTTGCTGTGTTAGATACCGTGTAGAGAATTTATTATTTTTAATTAAGGAAATTGGAATAGAATTCCAACAACTATACTATAAAAAAATCATTACTCGAGATGTTTAATTTCACTTCTGCATCCTAATTTGTCCACTTTAAGTCGCGTGCCCCCGACCCTAAAGCTGCCACAACATTTTTCTTCTTCTCCAAAATACATGGGTATTCCCCAAACGCCATACATTCTTACCACGGCATTACTCGAACAGCCATTACTCATCCTTCAAGGATAAAGGTGTTATCTCGAGGAATAACCGCACCCCCGGAGCGAAGTTAAAGCTCACTGTCGTTCGAATTATGAGTACTGCTACATGTTTTAACACGCGAATAAATATTTGGACGCGCCGCGGGGTTCGAGCGGCAAAGATCCCGAACGACCGGAAGAAAGAAACGCTTCTTAACAAACCGAAGTTATTAGGGGGCTGTAATGCTAGCCTAATATGAAAGTTACGAGCTCGCTGGGCCAGCAAAAGTGGGCCCATAAGTTACAATCAACCGGATACTACCCACGAGGGCCCGAAAGTGCTCCGGTTAAATTACTTTAAGGGCCTCCCCCTGCAGTACAGCCCTTCGTATTCTCGCCATGTGGTCCTCTAATCCTCTGCACGCTCCTCTCAGTTGTCCGTGGTTAATGTTGATCGAATCCCGCGGGTACTTCCCACTCGTGGAATTAATTATGCGATCGTGGTTGTTCGCAGAACCTCATTATCTCATATTGGAGTACGTGATGTACGGGAAACTGCTGGCGTATTTGCGTGATCATCGTACAAGGCAGGATTTCTACAACTTCAGCGAGGACTCGGCTGCCCTTACGTCCAGGGACCTCACAGTTTTCGGTTACTGCGTGGCGAGAGGAATGGAGTATCTGGCGTCCAAGAAGGTGAGCTGGTGTTTTCATTTACTTTATTTGGGGAAATAGCCCGTAGAAACTGCACAACTTAAAGAAAGTTGCGATTACGTGCAGTCTGATATGCGATGCCATTGTATTTCTTGGTTTATCGACTTTGAGAGAACAGGAGTAATGCGGAATGAGGATAAAGTGAGCTATTTGAATTTGTGCCCTTTAGAATATATTGTTTGTATTGAATTCACGTATATAAAGGGGTAATGATCATTGCAAAAAACACGAAAGCAAGAAAGATTTTAAATACCCGAGAGTCATGACAAAATTTGTGTGTGAACAGCATTAAATTAATTATTAAATTGAAACACGCACACACAAAATAAAAAATGTGAAACTTTCACAATGTTTCCTTGCATAATTGTTTGCTTAACGTGGAACTTTCTGGAAAAATATAGAAACATGTATGTAGGTTGAAACTTAATTGCAGTGTTTAACGAATATTGTAACGTTAACAATAAATTCACTGTTTTTGTCAGCGCTTCGAAATTCCACAGCAAGGTTAAGGTCTTTTTAGATTTCTTATGAATTTCGAAAACGGAATCCACTCCTTCGCGAATGCTCGTAAATCAACACTTGCGTTATCTGTTTTTCGATCACTCTCGCGAGACCTCTTGGCGTTGCCACGAAATTTATTACGATTTATATTCTCGCGTGTTCGACCGATCTTCGCGTCGGAGCCAAAAGGAAACGGCCATCGTCTATTTATTGCGACGTTACATTGTAGAATCACTCGAGATTCTGCTACCTCGTATTAGGTTGAATACGCTCTTAATTCATCTCGAGTGTGGATCTGTCTATAAATCATAATCGATGAAAACAGGGATTCAAACACTCGATGAAATTTATCGATGAAATCCATCATTAACAGTCTCATTTTTTTTTTGTAAAGAAAAGGAACATTAAAATACTGAAATACTGAGAAAATACTGCTTTCAGATTTCCCTTCTTTTTTGTTATATAGAAGCAAATTTTATTTCACAAACTTCAAATGAAACTCTTAATTAAATCTGATTTAAATTTTATCCTCAAATTTATTCGATTAATTCTCGTTTTGTTTTAGTAATCTACGACAGGAATATAAAATTTGCCTACTATTACAATTTAAACAACAAAATTTCCATTTAGTCTCTTGCTTAATAATAATAAACTTGTTCTCTCCTCTAAAAAAATTCTTGAGAAAAAATCCATAGGATTGTTCGTCCTTCGAACTGGATATATATATATTTTTTCGTCGAAGGTTGAGAGCGAAAAAGCGACGGTTTGACAAACAGGTTGCCAACGATATTTGCGTCTCAAATATTTGCACGCTGTCATAAAGATGAGACGTACGACAGACGATAATTTTACCAGGTGAATTCATGTCAGTGGGAAATAAATATAGGCCGTGTTTTTTTTCGAAAGCGACGAATTCTCGAACAAGTTGTTCGACCACCCCATGCGAGCTGCTGTGTAGAAAGCAATAAACTTACATTAGCGGGGACACGCAAAGACGTTTGTATCAATTATATCGCGCCTTTTGTCCATGTACGGCGAAAAATAACGGCGCGAGTTTGTAACAGAACCGTTTAGGCACGGTCCCTTTGAAAACTAGTTTTGCGGAATGCTTTCTGTCTGTGCCACGTGTGCGTCGAATATAATTTATTTTCCGAAAAAGGAATTCCAGATAATTTTGCTAATTTATGCAATGCCACGGCTCTTAATAGCTTCGATAACATTTATTAATAAATTGTAACGAATGATATCACTATGCACACATTTAACTGACCTAATCTAAATTCCTTACAGTAGATTCTTAAAAGCAAAAAATTCTAGCTGCCTCAATTTTGAAGATAGGGAACCCAAACTTTTTAATCTTATATTGAATGTTTTGTGAAATGTACCAAAAAATATTTCGAAACGATATCATGTCTAGTATTCATGTAATAAAATCGTAAACGTAGCATTACAAGAATTCTACTTCAGTGATTTCAATGCGTGTTAAGGACTATTGCTGGATTCGTGATGTACTTTCTAGTGAAAATCTTTGAATATCATTATTGCCACTAATGGTACATTCCTTTAACATACTTAATCTAAATATTTGTATAAAATTCATTCTCAAAATATAACTCTGATTTCGAAATTATTTAGAATTCTGAATTTTGTGACTGAAACAATCTGATTATAAAATGCTAGTTTCAACTGGCAAAACTGGAAACTCGAAAAGACACAGAAACGAGCAAAATGGAAGAAATCAAGTTTTTCTTTCGTTTTAAAAATTTGAAAGCACAAACCGTGCCACACGAGACTGATAATGCAAATTGCAAATTGCAAATTCTCAACGTTACAACAACAGCGTTTCTATTCTTTCGGTACTATTTCTTTAAAAAAAATATAAAATAAAATGTTCGTCTGCATCCTTCTGTGCCTAAATGGATTTTCCGCCAATAATAACACCAGCGATTAACTGGTGACGTTGGACGACAGTCGATATCGCAAATTCCCTTTTTCTGCTGATATTATCTTCCTTCATTTATTCATGCAGAATGGCACTGGCACTGGATATTCAACTAATCATTCCACTAGAAATACGTACTATCGTTTAATTCAACTGGCACTGGATATTCAACTAATCATTCTAGTAGAAATACGTACTATCGTTTAAAAATACAGATAAATAGGAGCTATCACGTTTCGTCAAATAAAAATGAACAGTATTTCTCAAGGATTAGAATTATCTCTCTAACGTTGAGTACAGACGTAATGCAAAAAAAAATTTTATTACCGCGAAAAGCAATAATGGAAGCTATATTCGCGAAGGTGATCCTTCTATCAGCGGAATTTCGCAAGGACGAACGCCAAATAAACCGTCCATAGTAATCTTCTTCGAATGTCGAATTACCGACGTTCGCGTAATCGTTTCGCGGAATTACCGCGCGAAAGCTAAAGTTGGTGGACAATAATTACTCATCGGAAGGAAAACAATAGTATCCACTCCTGTCCGAGAAGCATCAAGGTTCTTCGTTCGACTGACTGGAGACGTGCTCGAGGCTCCGAGTCTTTGTAAACACTTTGCATCAATTTCAGAAGAGCTTATATAAACGAAACGAGATAAAAACGGAATGAAATGAAGTATAAAAATTTATCTCGAGCCACGAGCATGGTCGACAGGCACAAAATAATCGGATGGGGTTGTAGGTTTCCGGGGCGTGTGATGCTCAAGAAAAAAAAAGGACTTGTGGTTAACAACGTAGCTATACGTATTCTACACAGCTGATGCGTATCGTCTTCATTTCCATAATTCAACTGGTTCGAGTTTCGTACGAGTCATCGTTTCCTTAATCCTTTCCAGAACGACTTTCATCGTCGAAGCATTAGAATCACAAATCGTGATCTTGTCTGCAGCTGGAACGCAAAAGTTCCACTCTATTAAGATTCAATCCATTGGGAAAAAGAGGACTCACTTGCTTTGCAAGAAGCTTAGGCCTCTCCTGCAACCCCATTATGCTTTAGACAAAAATTCTCCTGAATTATTATTGTTAATATTCTGTTGGACTTTCCGAAGCATCAATACAGACAGATTTTCCTTGAGCTACAATTTTGAATAAATATTTCACATATATTAAACAAAATCAAATCTAGTAAAAATTCTAGCATTGAACTGTAGCATTTAACTCGTGTTTCGAAAAGAGAGAAAATTATTGCAAACGTTGCTGCAGATGAAAATTTTAATTACCAACGAAGGGTGTACTTCGAGCACACCTTGTATAGGATGCTGCGGTTTTCGTATTAAATTTCAATGATCTCGGGCGATCGGTAGCAGGCTGTGACCGATTACGAAATTAAGAATGGAAAATGGTTAAGCATGATCGTCGACCGGTTATGATTCGCGAAGAGGTATTATACGCCAGAGGGGCTGGAGGCGTCAAGCAGCAGGAACGAAGTCACGATTGGAATCAGTATCCTGCGCTCTACGTTGGAAGGACGACTCGAGAGCAACCGAGTCAGGATGTCGATTTCAATCAAAGATTATATACGACTTCGTAGAAATACCTCTCGAGGCCGATACACATTGTACGGTTAATTGAAAATGGAAGCCACGGATGATACACGTGCGAGATGAAATCAGCGATGTGAAAGATCGGTACAGTGGGTTCCATTAGTCGTTTAAAAGAATCTGCGACACACTATCGAGGACTTGATAAGGAGCAACAATATATTCATTTTGTGATTGGCAGTCAAAATTGAAAACATTGCCGTTGAAGTAGTAAATTTCAATAAATAACGAGGTTCGTTGTGAATTTTCTTCGTATGAGGTGATTTGTAATTATTAATTATTAATTATTAATAGAAATTAAGATATTTAATAGAATTGATAGAACCTGCTCCTTGACTTATTCAATCAAAGACGTAACAAAATATTACTAAAAAAGGAGTTGAAACGTAAATAAATATTAAAACTGCAAATTTATTCTCCTTTACTTTGCTTATATGCCTACAAGTTTCTATTTTTAGATCTTTCTTCAACTTATTGACTGACTCTTACAGTTGTTCCGGTACTCATAAACAATTCTTTTTGCAACCAAATGGCTCGAGGGAAGTTCTTCACTAATACATCATATATATCCTTAGATCATTTGCCTTTAGCTATACTCAGTACATACAGTGATTACGTATTGTCGTCACGTGTACGAAAATATCTAATTATCAGTGAATCCACGGAAACGGCGAACTCAGTCTCCTTCAGAAGTAATATTTAAAGTGATAATTTCAGGATGTGGACAGAACCTCGTAACACGTTATAAATCGTAAAAATATCGATTATGTAACAGCGAGGATTTTTTTTTTTTTTACAAGTACATCAGTGTTGTGCATTTATTGTTACAGAATTGTCAGGTTACAACCTACAACAATAAATCCATAATAAATAATCATTGCATTTAAGTACGCGGAGGTTTGAATACAAAACTGAGTATACTTTACACATGTTGCTTTACGGCCAACGAAACAACAATATGTTTCTGTTTATTCCATCGCGCATTGTTGAGGAAATAAAATGAAAATGCTATAAATTTCAACGATTAAATTTCCCGTGTACGTTCGGAGGCACGTCGTATCAATTTCGTTTACGTCCCTCGGCCATGGCGCGCGTAAACTAAATCAAGTCCGGCTTCCGCGGTGGGCAAGAATACGCGACGACGAACACGCGATAAATCACGCACGTAATAAATAATAACACGCAATAATGCCGCGCTGCCGCCGTGTTACGAAGCGGGCAAGTGCGCATTTCGCCATAAAATTTGACTCGTAAATATCGCTTGGAGTAAACTAGCAATGGGATCCAGTTTTACGTGTACTCGCAAATCCAATTCGAATCTAAGATTCAATGGGTTCATTTGCTAGAGATGTTAGATGATACGTATCTCAAAGGATTTTTCAAAATTTCAAAAATTATGGATAAGGACCTTACTACAAGTTTACAAATAGATAGTATAACATCTCTCTTACTTTGTTTCTTGTACGATACAAGAGGCCACAGTTTAAAGGATTTCTCTCCTCGATACTTGAATCTATCGGCCAAATAAAAGAAGTGGTTAACAATTGAAATAATTAGATGTTTCAGTGTCTCCTCTATCTAAATTTACACTTGACAGTTCACAATTAAATCGTCGCTAAAGACTACCCTAATTAATTTCTATGCTTGTTTTCGTCGCTAGAGAAGACGATCGTCGAGTAGGTACGAAGGTCGTGTTTCTTCTTCGTGTTCTCTCAAGGAGTCCGAGGATACAATTTCGCGCGTCCTGTCACGCGACACTGTGTGATGCGGTTGCGTAACAGGACGTCCACCTGCGGTCGCGAATCAAAGGGGAATAAAAAAGAAAACTATGGGATCAACCTGTGCTCCTCGGTTTCGCAGATCATCCACCGTGATCTCGCCGCGAGGAACGTGTTGGTGGACCACAACAAGCTGTGCAAGATCGCGGACTTCGGCATGTCGAGATTCGCCAACGAGGACGGCGAGGTGATCGAGACCAGACACGGGAGGAACGCCCTGCCCATCAGGTGGATGGCACCGGAGTCCTTAATTTACTCGCTCTTCACCACCAAGACCGACGTATGGAGCTTCGGGATCTTGATGTGGGAGATCGTCACCCTGGGTACGTTCTTTTTCTTTTTATCGTGCCACGCGAGTCAAGCGTTTCGACGCCAACGAATACACTGACGCTCAAAAGTATCTCGTCGCGAGTTCTTTGCGCTGGGAATTTAGGTTTATTTATTTGGAAAGGGTGGAGTTGTACAGTAAGTACCAGAAGTATTGCTCCTTCAATTCCTGGCTTCGAATTCATATGTTCTTGGGGCAAGTATTTTGGGGTGTTTATAAGTGTACACAATGTATTAAATATTCATCTTTGTATTTGTCTAAAAATAGTGATTCAATTTTTTCTTTTTTGTGAGACTTACACACAAGGAGTGATCGTATACTTTTGAGCAGTAGTGTACCTACATGTGTCTTCAGCTCGATTGAAGGCAGGGTGAAATGGCAGAGTAGAAGGTCTGATCAACTGACAGCACTGATCTTTGCTTGACCCCAATCGTTTTTTGCAAATGTAGGCATGGACTTTCAGAGGGCAATTACAGTTTGTTAGAAAAAAGACAATCTTCCTTTCGATTACCACGTCATTTTTTAATCTATGATAGTCAAACACAAATCATGCTATAAATACAAAACTTACGGTGAAAAAGATTGAGTCACATCGTTGTTCTTTATTATAGAATATGTATAGCCCTAAACTATTTTCGCCTGAAAAATTTACTGCAATAGTTCTCAAAGTCTTCCATCCTAATAATATCGACTTCATTACTTCATGGACAGAATGGTGCTAATTCTACAGTAATAACATCCGCAGAAAAGCAATTTAGACAATGGTGAAAGGGTGCGGTTCACCGTTAATTGCCGTTATAAAACCAAAGGCTATGGAAGCGTGGAACGTGGACACTCTCGTCGCGATAATCGCATACGTGGAACCTGCTGAACCGCAGACTAATACAATTTCAACGCTCATTTAAATTTGTTATTCATAGCTCTCATAAATATACTATTAACCTCCTACGAAATTGCTAGTGGGTACTATGTTCCCCAGCCCAACTGCTCTTGGCATGGCGATCGGTGCCCATTATTTTCCAAAGTAAACTTATCAATACAGCATAATTTGAGCCATTTTCATAAATGCAAATCGGTATATTTTATGAATGCATTTTTTCTTTTATGAGTACCATAGTGTAGTGTCGTTCCTTCCATACCCAAGAATAATTTTTTTCGTAGAGACTCCTATAATGGGAAATTTGTCTTGCATTACGAACACGACAGAAACTAAACTAGCATGTTCAGCCGATTTTTCCAATTGCCTTTACTCGATCGATGATGGATAAAAATTCTATGTCCTCAGGTTCGACACCGTACCCGGACATGACGGCGCGGGAAGTGATGCGAAACGTGCAGAACGGTTATCGGCTGGAGAGGCCTTCGCATTGTCGAAGCGAGCTCTTCAGGGTGATATCACGATGCTGGCAGGCTGATCCAGACCGCAGACCAGAATTCCAGACGCTCAGAAGGGATCTGGCCCAGTTGCTCGAGGACAACATGAACGGACATTACGTCGATCTAGAGAGCTTCGCCTCGGAGTGCACCGACTGAGAATTTCGATCAGAGATCCATCTGTAATCGTCTCGTCGACCCTTGCACCAGGAAGACAGAGGTCCTCGAGCCATCGATCAGCAATCGTTGAACAGGGGATGAAACTATTTTCTCAGAGCTCAAGCGCCTGGAATAAAGTTAGTGCTGAGGATAGAGGTTGCTCTTCAAGAATGGGTTACCTTTTCGATTTCAGTCGACTCTCCGCAAACTGGGAAGTGAATATTCCTGGAGCTAAAGACTAGTGTATGTGGATGTCATGGTCTGTATGCGACGGTGTTTTTATTTTTATGGAGGGGTGAATGATGATGAATGGATGGAATGGAAGAATGAGGAACGATTAATCCAAGAAAATGTAAAACTTCCTGTAATACTTTTCGGAGCTTCTAATGACTGGAACGTGACAATTATGGATTTTTGGTCCATTTGGGAAAATCTATGTGAGGGAAAGCGAAAAAATATTTTCAATGACTGTAATATGTTTATTTTTTTAAGGAAATAAACTGTTTGAAATCTTTAGTGAGCATTGAGAAGAATGTGAAGAAGAATCTTCGTTGTGTCCATGAATTGTCATTTTGCACTCTATGAAGATGAGCTTTGAAGCTAACAAAATTTATTTTGTATAAATGTTGAATATGCATGGAGACTATACATTTCCTCCATGGAAAGTGAGAATTAAATCTGAATCCGTCCATAATCTTTTATTCGTCAAAAGCACAATGCTATTGCAAAGTTTTGTGCTAGTTGCACGCCATTATGGCGAACGAAAGTCAATAAAAAAAAAAAAAATAATAATCATTGCTACAAAACATACAAGCTGTTGACTTATTTCGCAGAGATTTCTGAGCAACTTTGACAATAACATAGCACTCTCTGTTTGGATCCTCTTGAAAATATTTTTGCAAACCAATCTCTTCGAGCAGGTGCTTAACAGGATTCACAAAAGTGCTAATATTTAACGTTGTGTGTGGCTCGGAGTTATCGAGTGTGCGAGTTTTTCATTAAGTGACATTGTCTTTTGTGAAACGAGAAAAGAACGTCAGCAATGCAAACAAGGGGATATCTGCAGTCTATAGTTAAGGACGACAAGCATTTTTCACTGTCTTCATTGAAAGAAAAAAAATGTCAAAATGTTTAAGTATTTGGTTTAGTATTATTAAGTACCTAGCGTTCCCAATTAAAGCGCCAGTCATCAAACGTTTGTTCGCGTCGGTGTTTTCTTACTCGACGCAGACGTTTGTTACATTGATACGACGAATTTTTGAACGGTACCTATTAAAAACGTTATTTTTAATAATATTTACTATCGATAAAGATAAAAATAATTAAAAAGAATATAATGTTCGTATAGATTGAGTAAAAAAATTGTGATAACTTTTGCATTGAACGAATTCATAAAATTAAATATAAGAAAAAAGATCATTTATTTATTTAACAATATTATTATCTTTTAAATTATCTCTGAACAGGAGTCTGCGTTTCGATGGAAATTCCGTGCTCACAAGAAGAAACTCCGACGCGCGAACGATCGATCACGGAACTCACGAAAATCATCACGTTCGACAGCGACGAATCCTCGTTTCGGAGTGTTGTACATAAAATCGCATTTTCAAAACGCGTCGTTTCAATAAAAACGACAAAAAAAGAAAGACCCCCCCCCCTTCTCCAACATCGCCCTATCATCGTAATTATATCGAAAATAATAATTATTATTATATTATTATATGATTAATACTTGTATTATCACTGATTAATCGTTATTAAGCACATAAGTTTGTAAGATTTTTCAATCGTCGATTTATTCTTAATCATTCTAGTCTCTCTCGATGCGTACGGGGTGTCGATTGGTCTTTATTTTATTACACATCACCGCGAAATCCGCGTGTAAATTTATTCTGGATTGTGATATCGTATTTTTACACCGTGAAAGCTCCCCAGAGCCGATTCAAGCCCCCACCATTGTTTATCGTATTAAGTTTGTAACTTTGCAAAGTCGATTTCTCTTCGTGACATTTCCCCTCGCTTCAGCATTATCGAAGAGAAGCGACGACGTCGATTATCCCGTGTTATTTCGATGTTACTCTGCGTACTTTGCGATTCGTGCGTGCATACATATACACTTCCCCCCTCTCCACCATTTCCACACAAAAAAAAATACAAGAATTATTGTATGTAAACTCAACTACTGTAAGAGGTTTTCTTTATGTCAGTAAACGTTGTCGTAAATCTCACGCAATTCTTTTCCAGTCGTCTCATCGTTTGTTTCGTGGAAACTTTTATTTCACCCTTGTATCGCGTTTGGTTGGAAACAGCTTTCGCTATGTGAAATTATCGTGGTGCATTTGACTATGTCCAAGGTACTCGTTTGAGTAATTTTATTGCGGCATTTAAAGTTGCCTGGAAGAATTCTTGGGACAGGACTTTGCAATCTTGAGCGAACGAAGAGACACTGTGTTTCAAATTAGGGATGCGGCCACAAGGGTGCCTTCAGTTCCTGATTAATCGAGTCGCGTTTGCAACGGACACGCAGATTTATTCGCGAACGCGCGGACGAGATAAGGACGAAAACCCTATGGCGGTGGTGAGTTGGGTTCGTTCCATCAAAGTCTCGGGGACAAAGAGTCAAAAAAGAGAGAGGAGACTGCAAGGTGGAAGAAAGCTATGTAAAAGGGTATAGAATATTCCAAGGGAGCACAATTTTATATTTGCCAGTTCAAAAACTTGCATTTTTACACTCCATGTTCCACTTCATTCAATAAAAACACATAGTTCAATTTTTTCTTTAAATCAATAACTTGGAAATACCCATGCCTCTATTTTCTGGAACCAAATGAACACTGTTACCTTCATAAAAATTAGCACCACTTTTCTTTTTTTAAATTGATAATAAATGTATAATAAATAAATGTATTACCCAAATAAATATCCCACCCTGTTTATCATGCAGATCGAGAGAGGAAAGTATCTTAATAGACATTTCGAATTTTTCGCGCGACAAATGCGCGAATAATTGTCGTGGAACGTTAGTGGATACATCTTAATTGAACTAATTGAAGCGACGCACACAGTCGTGCATCGATTTAATTGCGAAAATGTACGAATCAATTGTCGCTACGGTACACGTGGGCGTGTAACGATGCCTTCTTAATTATTACCATCACGACACCTCGGCCATTGCGCTCTTTGGACGTTAATTAACACGCGAAACGGCGAATCGATACACAGAGATCGCATTCCTGCACGTGACACCACGCGACACCGTGCTTTTCGAGTCTTATCGTCGCCACTTAACCGCGAGCGCGAACCAACGCTGTTGGAAACGGAATCCAAAGGAGCGAAGTCGGCTTCGTGTTAAACAAGGAGAAATGAAGGTCGATTCGTTGCAAACAGCGGGGTATGTATTCCAGGAATCGATAATAGACTGATAAATTCTTGGTATTATCCAGTTTCTTGATAACGTACGGATACCAGTTGATACCAATGGGTTATCAAATTAATACGGTTATTTTTTAAATGGTATTATTTCGAATGAGAAGAAGGAAGAAATTGAGAGGGCACTTGAAATAGAATCTTTCACGAATCTATTATACGTTTTATTGTTATTTTTCATATCGTTAATGTTAAGAAAATAAGTGTTCTATTATTCGAAAATTAGGTTGGATATTCACCGTTTCACTGTATGTTTTCCTTACTTTTAACGATGACGTGAAAGTAAAAATACATTTCGAGCAGAAACAGGATATTACTGTCCGTTTAAAGACTCAATTAGCCAACTATAAACGTCAATTCGCCAAACGAACAATAATATAGCCATCAACATATACCAAGACATTATAAAATGATTTGATTATTAAATATCACGGGGATATTAAATTTCTCAAACCACAAATAGTCGATGGTGAAGGCGAACATTTTCTTAGCCGAAGGAAAAAAAAAGTGGGACTGAGAAAGTTAATGGTCAAGGTTGGTTATCGATTGCAAGTCCAGCCGGGAGTTAGCAATTAAGCGTGGCTTCCGTCCGCGGCATGATTGCCGATCGAAGCAGGAAACTGTTCTCCGTGCCGGTAAAATTCGGTTCCGTTACGTCGTCGAGTCGTAAAAGGGTACTACGGTGCGCGGCTCTGGTCGTTTGCATAATTTTCGGAATTATCGCGTGATCCTGGTAACGGTATTATCCTTTCGCATCCAAACACTCGTGAGGTCCTGAGGCGTTTTGGTATTAATTGAATCCTCGTACCAGCGCGCTGCTTTACGGCCGAGTGAATTACGCGAGTCTCGATGGAATAATTAAACTACCACGGTAATTTATGGCGGAGGGATTCTCCGGGCTTTATCTCTCACGGTCTAGCTATATTAGAGGCGTAGCCCTCTCAGCAGTATCTGACTTTTGTTCGGTTGGAACATTAACGCTGTTAATTATTGCGAACGAAACGTCTGTGATAAATAGGGACGTGGTTCCTACTCTGTTTCTAAATTGTGTGTAAAATGTTTTTGTAATACCGTTCATTGGTTGAGATATTTTCCTAGAGAGGCTTCAAACCTTTGACGATCCTATGTCGAGTAAAGCTCGAAAAACATTTACTGAAATTCAGAAAATTCGGAGTGTAAAGAGTTAAATTTAATTCCATTAGTAACTAATGCATTTGATTGGTTAAAATATTCTTCAGAGAATAAATTCCCTGCCAACCAACAACGAAATTCATTGTTTATTTTTCGAAATGTCCATCAGTATTCCATTAATTTACCCTCACTTTGGCACAAACGAAGCTGAAAGGTACAATGGGAGAGGACGGAAAGTCATGGTAGAAATTGGCCGATCTTCTCAGACAAAAGTAAGCACGAGAGGAGCATAGTCATCCGACATTCTCAATGGTCGGTGAAGTCTGTCGGTAGCAATTGCGTGGATGCAATATTCCTGGCCGTCCTGAGCCCTCGACATGTACCGAAGCAAGGATCGTTATCGTAAATTGGATCGCATTCCGGAAATCTTGAAACAGCCGTAAAACGTCCAGGCTCGTTTATATTCACGGGGGGGTCCGATGCCTGGACGAGAAAGAGACCTAACGTCACGAGAAAAATCGCATAAGCGATCCTCGAACATCTAACCGAATACCGATCTCAATTTTAATACCCTCGTGAATTTTACTTATAAACATTTTCATTTAGCGGTACATTTTCCCAAGGAAATGAATTTCTGTTACAGTGAACATTTTATGGGAATGAGCGTGCTAGATTTAAGTAACTTTTGCAAAATTTCTAACCGCGGGTGGAGCACGATTGCCACACATTGTAAATTACAAAGTTTCACGAGTCTCACAGCCGCATCCCGCGGATCACCTCAAGTTTTCTCTCTCACAGTTCGCTCTCAACAGTCCTTTCTCTCCGCGGCGATCTCTCGTAGGAATATATTCATGCTCCCATACGATTAAACGTTAGGTTCCCTAACACAATTCGAAGCTAACTTGATAAACGGTTCGAATTACAGTGCGCCGAAGACTTATTTCCGTGAGACAGTGACGAACGAGATGATTCTACTCGAATCTGCACCTTGCTCCATTCAATATGAAATCTCGAGGTATTATGGCACGGAGATTGACGGATTGCTTTTTTTGATGGGGAATGGTACCCTTTTAACAACGGGAAAAAACGCGAAAAATTCCAGAGGCCAGAAGTCAATTGCAAACATACTTTTATCGACGATAGGTTCAATAACGACCGTAATCTTCGGATGGTAGTCGTTGAGGAGGTAGTAATTTCTGTTCATGTTAGGAACAGATGAAAAGACGCCGATGACTTTAACGAGCCAACCACGATGACTAGCAATTTCACGAAGGTCACTGGGGTAAGGCTCACGTGCAGCAAGATTCTCGTGGAAACGCGTGTCTAGGTCGCGGTTACTATCTATAGAAAGACTTTCGCCTAGACGTACAAGTAACGGTGTCGAGGTAACATTCGTGAGAGCAAAATGAAAATCGAAAACGTCTGAATTGGCTTTGCAAACATCTTCTATTAATCCATACACTGCCAGACAAAAGTGTTTTGCTTTGGGTGCCAAGATTTAATATAGATGTGTAATCTAGGTTATTATTTTGACAATAAAAAGAGGTATTAAATTTGTTGTTTTAAAAAGAAAATTTACGATCTCCTTTTGCAATAATTTGTGACTGAAAAGACTATAAACTTACCCCTTGAGTAATTGCATTAAATTTGAACTACATGACATCTCGAAGTTGGCAATGAATGGGTTAATTCTTATGGAATTGAAAGGTTATTGTGAAGTAGTGCATCGAAAGTGAGCCACTGAAAATCTCGGCGTCTTCTGGAATTCCTTTATGGTGTCAGTGATAAAGTGTAAAAAGTTGGTGATCACCTGGGACTTCCTGACTTTCACCTGTTTAATTTGAGAAACAATCACTTTTTTTAGTGATGTTTAAATTCACGTCAACTGCTGAGGTAATGTTATAGTTCTTTTTTAAACGGGGTTACAATTAATTAACTTCAATACTTTTCAATTTTTAAATGACGTTACTGATATTAGAAATCAGGGTAACAATAAATACTATATGCTAGGATTAATAATATTAGATCTCAGGTTTGAAATCTTCTCATTTGTCGATATCTTTGACGATATCACGTCACTCTTAATATGAACAATGAGCACACGATGTTATTTAATACACACTTCAATTAGATGAAGATAATTCTAAACATTTCAGAAAAATTACACTAATGTCAGAATAAAAAGAAAATGCTGTATCTCAAGAACGGTATCTACCAAACATCCAATTAAAGTAATATATTAGACACATTAGAGCAGTGGACACCCCATTAATCATGAGCAAAGAAAAAAAACGGATACAAAGATAAAAAGAAAATCTCCACAGTGTACGCAGCATCGATGGTGTGAACATAAATTTCCATTTCGAAGAAGCAATACGCAATCAAAAGTAAGATCTCATCGCCACGTTCCACTTTCGTTCGTTACCAGCTGAAAACTCCACCGCTGATCAAAGCCATTTCTTTTATAGTAAAGTTAACGAGCTCGTGACCCAAATATTTCACGAATCGGGCGCGTTTCACTTCGTCGCACTTGCCGAAATAATGCAGAACGCGAGAACACCTCGTCCGATAATGTGGAATGGCTACGCCGTCGTTAAATAGCTTTAATTTAATGCTATTTAGCGGTTCGCAATCCCTGGTTCGTTCTTCTCGAGGGAAAGAAGCCTGGTAAGACGAATCGTTGATGAAACGACTTTTAAAGGGATAAAAGACACCGCCGCAGGCTGTCCCGGCCATTTTCAAACGCCAAAGACTCGCTAAGGCCGTTGAAAGAGTTGCGTCTTCCAATTTTGCAAGCAGAACGTAGTGCATTATTGTACCTTTTGCAGGGTGTATATCCATGTAATCGTGGCATGTCAAAAAGGCAGAGTGACATTTCAGTAATTACTTTGAGAGATGAGATGTTAAGTCGAAGGAATATTAATCAGAGAGAGTCAAATGTAAGTTAAAATAATATCGATTTAAATGAGTGTTCTACATTGGATTTTATTTTATATTTAAAACAAATTGTAAGTAAAGGCTATCTAAACACAGCTGCGATATGAAAGTTACAATGGTTTCTATGTGATCGGTGAATTTTTGTATCGTTGAGGCTTCGAAAAAAAAGGACAGATATGTAATTAATTTCCATGAAGCAAGTTAATGAAGGAAACAAACAATTTGTGACGTGTAAATTGTATTGCCGTAGAGCTTGTTAGATTCCAAAAAGAGCCACGAGAGAAAGTGACTTCCACTAACCTGAAACAACGAAATAAACGGGGTTAAACGGAAAAATGCACGAGTACCATTTAATTGCGGACGTGGATAGTCCGGACGAGTGTCGTAAAATTGTAACGCACTTTCAGCATTCCTGTTCCGTCGTTAGCATACTTGCGTGTAGTTTGCCAACGTTGAACGATCACCTTGCTAATTGTGAACGATCCACGTATTCCTAAAGAAGACTAACATTTCTTCATTATTCTAGAATCGGTATCGTTTGGAAGACATATTTGTTCTTAAATTTTCAAATTTCAAATTATGAAAATCTTTTTATTTTATACACTA